GCTACGAATGGTAAAACTCACTGACGATGCCGGCGAAACGTCTGTGACTGTACCACGTCCACGGTCCGACTTCGGAAATGATTATTCATGCAATGGACTCAGGACAAGGTGTGTTCCTCTAAGTCTTCCTACCAATATGACTAAGTTGCGAAAACAAGGTCAACCAACATCTAAAAAGTATTGTAGTCGAGTTAAAAACCAAAATATTTTCAAAGTCTTGAGTGTAGCCAATCAAATGAACGACCGGTTCACCAAAACCTACTCTACCCATAAATAAAGTAATATTCTCAGTTTTATAAGCATAATTAAATACTTTACTGTGCAGTAAATCAAGCTTTTCTATCATTATCGTTTCTATCCTATAATTCACAATGTTAAAAAAGAATCATACGACGCTTGAAAATGCAAAAAGCGTCGTCCCATTATTAAATGTATACAAAATAGCTCTTCCAACAAGAAAATAGGGACACTTTAAGAGAACTAGTAGCGGATAGGTCACAAATGGAATGTATAACAGAAAATATGGCAAATAATCTTTGAGATCATAGAAATAATTAAATGAATAAACCAATAATAATCACCTGAAGGGAAGCCAACTCACGATCCTTCTGAGCAATAGATTCTAGTGTTCCGCTAGCGTCAAGTGACAACTGATCATTTTTAGATTGTAATTCTTGCTAAAAGATCAGGATCAATGCCAAAAAAATGAATTAAATATAGTAATGAATGAGTGATAATGGTAATCATATTTATAAAAAAATTCGTAAACTAGATACTAAAGACGAATAGGTAATAACATGAAGATCATAATCGATATACCTCATTTGTAGGCGTGTCTGTAACTTTCAATAATTGTCCATTCTTTAGAATATAAATGTGATAAGTTCTTCCCAGAATAAACTTTCTCAATGGATAACAAATAGTTCATGACCAGAAGGAAGGTAACTATGCGCAAATCGTTTTGCTATCAGGTTAACCATGACCTAGCAACTGCACGAAATAAGAAAATAAAATTCCATTATTTGTCCATTATACTTGAAAGTACCACTGGAAAAATCTGTTGCTATCAGTAAAGCTTAAGTAGGGGGAAGCCATCTAAACGCTGAAATAAATGAAAAATAAATAAAGACGATTGATGCCACTATACAAGCAATATTTAATCACTTGCTCCCAATTATTAGTAGCGTCGACAAGTCGGTAATATGGCCATGGTAGGGTAGTCCGTAAGACCCCATGTTAAAAAAGGCTAAAATGTTTGCATATGAAATGATTAAAAGAATAGAAATTTATTTGGAGTGAGATGACATTCATGTCACTGCGATAGCAGCATATACTGACTGTTTTGGGTCTTTGATTTTTTAACATTATTGTAGGCCAACATGGTGGAATATAGAAACCGTCAATTTTCAACAAAACAACTTATAAGAGGGAAGACTGCTTTTGTCACCTTAAACATTACTAAGTTCAGACACGCGACCAAAGAAACTAGTCATTACCCTTTACTCCAAGGCCATCAATGTTTAATGAACCAAAAAGAAACATAACTGGGATTGCGCAATCCCGAAAGCCTCAGTTAGTTGGTGAGCTTAACATAACTGTTGAAAAATGCAAATGTGGAAAAAAACACCAATGAACCATCCAATTGAATCACGTTCTATTGATCAGTAACTCAACACCTGCCTGATTATATCAACCAAACATAAGATTATCGTAGATATGAAGACCAAGATGGTGTGGCCATCTGGTCTCATGGGTTTAAAGCCTATAGAGAGGAAGATTCCCAGACAGTGACATGAGTATAACCTACCCTAAATCCTCGAATACGGCACAATCAGGTACAGGAATTGATGGACGATATGAAGTGGGGTTAAGAGAAAGAGACGCAAGATTAAAGGCTAAGTCAAAATAAGGAGAAGAAGAGTGATTTCAGAACGATTGAACAAAAAATTGGTCAAGGGGATTGTCTTCACTCGTCACTTTGATAAGTTGTAACTCTGTGCTGACGATGCCAGCAAAACGTTTAGGAATGTACCAAATGAATGGTCCGATGCTGGAAATCAAGAATACTATAGGAGAGGACACAGGACTAGGTAAATTCCACAAAGTTTCCCTGACGCTCCGACCAAGTTTCGAAAGAGGTCGAACTAACAAACATAATTAGCTGTTATCCAATTTACTGCCCCCATTCCTCACATAAGAATAATTCCATAATCGGTTAATCCCATTAGCCTCTTATCATGCTTTTGGCAGCAGACATACAATAATTAACAAAGTCATGCGTAATAGACAATTTTATCTGGTGTCCGATTTCAGTCTTGTTCTTATATTAATCGAAGGTATGAAGACCAAGATTGTGTGGCCTTTTGTGTGGTTGCATTCTCCTTTCGTTGTATAAAAGTTGTTTGACCTTGTTTTCGTAACTTGGTCATATTGGTAGGAAGACTTAGAGGAACTCACCTAGTCCGGATTCCATTGTCTGCATGATCATTTCCAAAGTTGAACCGTGGACGTGGTACATTCCCAAACGTTACACCGGCATCGTCAGTGAGTATCGCCATTCTTAGCACCATACAACAACTCTTCAAAGAGACAAGAATGGCAATACTCACTGACGATGCCGGCGAAACGTTTAGAAATGTACCACGTCCACGGTTCAACTTTGTAAATGATGAAGCATATAATGGACTCAGGACTAGGTGCGTTCCTCTAAGTCTTCCTACCAATATGACCAAGTTGCGAAAACAAGGTC